GCGCTGCAGTGGACCCTACTCAGATTTTCTCACCCAGCATCCCACCCCAGTCGCCCCAGCTCACCAAGACTTCACAGGCTGTGGGTAGCACCAGACAGGGCTGAATTTTCGTGCCAAGCCTGTGCCCTCCTAGCTCCCGGATTTGGGGCTTGGTTACCATCACAGCCTTTCCAAAGAGAGGGTCCGGGATTCTGGCCTAGATCGCTGAAGACCACCCCCCAAACTATAAACCGTCCCAGGGCCGGGGAGAGAGGAATTGTGACTTTGACGTCGACGATTTTTCCATGAATTTCTCTGGCTCCCAGAAAGAGCTAAACAACAATGTCTTTCCTATAGGTTATGGGAACATTTCATCTAAGGCAAGCTGCATGATTATCCACTGTATTATCTGATTGATGTCTGTCTGCAAGTCAGTCAGCATCCCTTTCTTGTCTCTCCTCTCTTCCCTCTCTTCTCTCCTCCTCTCTTCTCTCTTCCCTCTCTCTTTCTTCTCTTTCTTTATCCCCCCACCTTCTGTGTTTAGATGTTTATATGGACCATACAGGTAATCTGAGAATCATTTCCCCAGCCATGTCAGAGAAGTACAGATATTATCTTCATTTTATAAAAACAGAAGCAAAAGCCAAGAGAGATTACCCTATTTACCCAAGTTCAAATAAATATTGCATTTATTTTACTAAGACATTCTGGTCTCCTTCAAACACATATTGTTTGGCAGTATATCAGGCTGGAGGAGGCACCTGGTGGTAAACTACCTTCCCTCCTGCAACACCTATAGGGGAGGGAGGGTTTGGGAAGGTATCCCAAACCAGGGGTCATTTTCATTATGTTTCTTTTTCTTTTTCTTCTTCTTCTTTTTTTGGTACCAGGGATTGAACTCCGGGGCACTCAATCACTGAGCCACATCCCCAGCCCTATTTTGTATTTTATTTAGAGACAGGGTCTCACTGAGTTGCTTAGCACCTCACTTTTGCTGAGGCTGGCTTTGTGTTTCTGAGGGATAAGAAAGCATTATTTTAGGCAGGAGATAAGGGGAGGGATGTTGATAAGAAGAAGGTGCGTGGACACAGGGCTGCAGGAGACAGCTGTGTACTGAGGTTGGGAAAACAGGCTGCTTGTATGGTATGCACGGGGCAGATTCTTGAATGTTAATCTGGGGGTTTTGAACTCTGCCCCGTGTTCCTTGGAGGGCTATTGAAGATGTTTCATTATGAACAATTTCAAACGTACACAAATATAATGAGAACAATTAAATAAACCCCTATTTACCCATCATTCAACCTGAACATGACAAATATTTTGCTATTCTTGTTCATTGATGGTTTTTAAAGAGATCAGTGTAATGAGGTTTGTTTTTCCAGGGTCTCCTAGAAGCAGGGCTGGAGTGGGGGCAGGTGGGGTGTTAGATGAAAAAGAAGCAGAAAGGAGCCTGTGGCAGGAGACACAAGGAGGTCACACAGAAGGTGTCAGTAGAGACTCAAAGGTAATCAAAATTGACAGTGGAGGGGAATGAGGAAGAGGAAGTGCTGGGGATATCATAGGATGAACACAAAATTCTGAATTGGTTGGTGGGCTGGATGGAGATGCCTCCTATCCTTCTAATTGCTTACTTCTGGGACAGGGAGATGAGGCAGGTATATAATCAGGCCCTGGGATGCTCTTTGGATTTCAAGTCCTGCATTTGCTCTTGGACCATTTGTCTTTTCTCTGCTAGGTCTGATTTTATCTTTCCAAGGTTGAATGGTAAAAACCTGGTCGTTTTTCCTCTAGACAGTTTCCATGATAATCACTCACTGTTATTAATTCCCCGCCTCACGCTGGCCATGGTGCAGAATCCTGGGTGGCATGCACTGTCAAGCAGCAGTTGGTTCAGACTCGATTATTTTACAATCACTTGGGAGGCAGTCAAGCAGTAGAAGAGGCTAGAGATAAAGACCAGTCCTTCCTGATCTTTCCTCCTTTGTGGTGTTCTCAGAGTGCCCTGGACTGCTAGTATCCAGCAGGGGGCAGAGAAAAAAATCTTTAGATTCATGTTAGAGGCAGGGACCTCAGGAGGATAGGCTCCTCATGCAGTCTACAGCTGGGTGCTAAGGGGGATGATGGGAGGTGGAAGAAGCCCGATGGGATGAGACCTCTGCAAATAAGGCCAACCTGCTTTGCCTGCAGGAGATGGTAAGAAGGCCAGGGAAGCATTGGAAAAGAAATGCAAGCCGCTCTTCTCTACAGGGAGATGTTTGAGGGTGGTTAATCCTCTTTCCCTCCAGATTTGAGCACAGTTGGTGACCTTGAATTTCAAAGACATCTAAGTATCAGCTCCCCAACTGGGGTCAATGTGTGTGTGGGTCTTTGGGGAATGGGAATTTGACCTTCAGACCTATGGGCTCTAATTTTGATAGCTTGGAAGGGCCCTTTGACTGACAAACCTCAATAGATTCTTGGGAGGATCTTTGGGATAAGATAGGGAGAAGAATGGGATGATGGCTCAAGAAGTCTCCAAGTCCATTTCCCTACTTTCATAATTCAGTACCAGCAGAGGTAAGATTGGTCTAATAGTATATCCAGGTTTAGGATGGAGGGCAAGAAGCTCCTAACAAGAAGCTCCTTGGGCCTGATGACAAGCATAAGATGCAACATATCATTAGCATGACAGTCTCAGATTTGTTCACTATGCCAGACCAGCTGCCCTAATGGATGAACCAACAACCAGAGGAAGGAAGTTGGAAGGCCAATGATCTAGATAGATGTTAGTTATAGCCACTGGTTCTAATAATAAGAGATATGAAAGGTCCTTCAGTGCCTACCATGTGTCAAACACTATACTTAGTTTACTAAATCCTTGAGAAAACTCTGCAGATTAAGGATGAATGCAGTAGTTATTAAATCCAAGACACCATATAAACCATTAAGAAACATGAAAGGTCTGGGATTGTGGCTCAGTGGTGGAGTGCTTGTCTACCATGTGTGAGGCACTGGGTTCGATCCTCAGCACCACATAAAAATAAATAAATAAAATAAAGGTACTGTGTCCAAATACAACTAAAAACAAAATTAAAAATGAAAGAATATGGGGCTGAGGTTGTTGCTCAGTGGTAGAGCGCTTGCCTGATGTGTGCGAGGCCCTGGGTTTGGTCCTCAGCACCACAAAAAAATAAATAAATAAAACCAAAGGAATTGTGTCCATCTGCAACTAAAAAATAAATATTAAAGAAAGAAAGAATAAAAGCTGTAAATTTAACCATGACTCCACTGCTAGCAAGATATATCTTGATTTCAAAGATGCTAAAATGTGAAACATGTGAGTTAGAATAAATGTAAGACAGTACTGCTTCTATCCTTACACAGCAGTTAAGTCATTTATTCATAGTTGCACAGCAAGTTAGTTGTTGAAACCAAGCATTAAAACCTATTCTACTGGGCTGGAATTGTGGCTCAGCGGTAGCGCACTCGCCTAGCATGGGCGGGACCCAGGTTTGATTCTCAGCACCACATAAAAAATAAAAACATTGTGTTGTGTCCATTTACACCTAAAAAATAAATATTAAAAAATACATATTCTCTCTCTCTC